AGGAGTGAGGAAGCGTGAAGTATCGTGCAAAAGCTCTGCTGCCGAGACCCTCCCCGAGAGCCTGTGCACCAGCCTCCCCAGACCCGAAGCGCAGGAGGGATGTGTGCTAGGACGATGCCCCAAAAACACCCGGCTGCAGTGGGTCGCCTCGTCGTGGAGTGAGGTTGGAGTTTAGATGCATTGTTGGTTTTTTTTTTTGAAAGGCTTAGGTCACCTACCATTATTCAAGTTCACAAAGCTCCTTTCTGTAGCGTACGTACATACCAGGTACCCACTGTTTGTCAGTTCTTCCCTCCCAATATTTTTTCAGCAACTAGGTCTGTGCAGGGGGCACAAAACTTCCTAAACCACATGTAGAAAAACATCATAAGGAATGCAAAGTACTGCACTAGAAGTCTGTGCTTCTCTAGGAAGCCTCAAGGTATAACCCAGAGGAATTCTTAGCAGAAGAGACTTTCCAGGGAAACTGAGCCTTAGGGATGAGGAGGAATCTAGCAAAGGTGGAGTCAGAGAGAGGTTGTTCCAGGCAGAGGGTGCAACTTACATGGCAGACCCATGACGGAGGATTCTATGTGTAATAAGGATGGGACCATCAGGTGTGCTGGAATGGGAAACTTCTTGAGGACCTTCTAGAAATGAATCCTATGAACACTGGGGAGCCAATTTGAAATTTTAAAGAAATGAAACGATGTTTTCATTTTAGAGATAGTGGAATGGATGCATATGTGTGGCTATTGCACTAATTGAGCCACAAGATGAAAGTGTTTTAGGGATAGAGAGAAATGATGCTGTTGAGTTTCCAAAAAAAGCCACTGGGTACCTTCCGATATGTAGGGGTGGGCAAAAAGGAAAGATGTGAAGATGCTGTCTAGGTTCCCAGCTTGGGGAACTAGGTTGAATTCACAGACATAGGAAACATAAGGAAAGCAGCTAGCCCGGAGAATACAAGGGTGACAAATAAGTGCTCTGCTCCTAAAGCATTTATAGTCTCATGCCAAGATTGAGGAGGACAAAAAAAATATCCAATAAAGTAGATGGCGAGGTCGAATGGAGGGGGTTTTTTTATCCCTTCAAAGTGACTTTTATCCCTCAGCATATGATTTATGCATGTCTATACGTGCTTTAAGAGAGATTAAACACTTGGGCTTGAATCATACTTACCCCTGTTTGAAATCAGCCTTCAGGTGTGGCTTTGTTACCCACTGACACAGCTAAACCTTGGTTTTCCCATCTTTGCAATGGAGCTAGCAAGTACATCTCCCCCATACAGGAGTAAGCATGAAGCTGAATGGCATCTTGGGCTGTATGCGATATCTACACTAATGCCAATTTTACTGATCTATCCACTTTACCAGGGCCCCATCCATTATTCTGTAATACCATTTGCAATTCTTTTCAGAACATTTTCTTATACTTATTCCTTTTACCCCCTTGCCAGGTTTAGGTTAAATGTCAGCTAAAGGTAAACATAAAAGACAATTATTTGTCATATGGTGGTTCTTCCACTCAGAGGTCTTTAACCCTTTTCTCTGGGCCCTACCCTCCTTGGCTTAGACTTTCAAGAGGTCTCAGGTAGACCTAGACCCTCAAGTGTTTAATCCCAAATGTGTGCAGCCAAATAGTGCCCTGATCTCATCCTTCTGCCAATTCTAAGACTCTACCTCACATTCATTTTGTTTTTTATGGTGCTAATGAGCTCTGTGACTTTGGGAAAATCATTCTAATTCCCTGACTTTAGGTTTCCTTACCAGTAGCATGAGGCACTGGGCTGCTGTATCTTTAATACCCTAATGTATTGGGTGACCTCCCATAATCCCATCCCTCTAATTTCACATGTATATGTGCAACTCTGCACTCTTAACCTGTCCTTTCTTGGTTGGCTCTAGTGCTCTGCAACCTGTGGCTTGGGTGTGAGGAAGAGGGAGATGAAATGCAGTGAGAAGGCCTTCCAGGGAAAGCTGATAACTTTCCCAGAGCGAAGATGTCGCAACCTTAAGAAACCCAACCTGGACTTGGAAGAAACCTGCCACCGAAGGCCTTGTCCAGCCTACAACATGGCAGCTGGATGGTATTCATCGCCATGGCAACAGGTATGTACAGATTCCAGAGATTTGCATTCAAGTGTGATGTGGGAAAGGAGGCATTCTGTGAATGGTTGCTTTTAGTCCACCAGTGGCTCAAAGTCTAAGGTAGACTGGTCTGTGATCAGTTCCCCTGTCATAGACTGCTAATGTTGCTGCTACAACCATCATCTGATTAGCAATCCTGCTCTCACAGGCTTTAGTGATTAGCTTCTTAGTAAAGTACATAGCAAGGGTTTGAGTAATCCTAGCTATTAAGTACACTTCACTTTCACATAATGCTTAAAACAACCTTACTAATGGGCAGTCTCATCCTTCCCTTGTGGATGAGATAGGTAGTCCTAATGCTCAGCCCAAGATGGCAGATTTTAAGCTCCTCAGATGTTAGAGCCACCGTTCTTCTGAGAGGATTTGGATGACGCTTTGGTCACATCCGCTTGGTTCGTATTGACTAGGCTTGGATGGTGATGCTACGTCACTGAGAATAATGTGTCCTCAGGGATCCAAAGCTCAGTTTGGACCTTATAGTTTTCTAACCCCTCAGGGCTATGCATATCATTCTTAGAGGGATTAGATAAGAGTCCTGGCCTACTGGCAATTTTTTGCTTGCCTGTTTTTGTAAATAAAGTTTTAGTGGAACATCGCCAGGCTCATTCGCGTACGTATTGATTACAGCTGCTTTTGTGCTACACCAGCAGAGGAGAGTAGTTACAACACAGACCAGATGGTCCATACAACCTACAATATTTACTGTCTCATACTTACAGAAAAAGCGGTTTAGATGATTTGATGACAGCCATATAGCTGTATTTTCCACCCCAACATATTTTTTTCTCCCATATAGTAGGCCACATCATGGTAAGATAAAGCCTTCATCTGTCTCCAGTAAAATTGGGGGTATGGAGGAGGGATAATATAGTGAATTTTTAAACCTACAACAAAAAGTCAATTGAATGTGCTACATTTTCCCCTGATGTTTCCCATTTTTTATTACAAAATATATTAGCTTTTCATATGTGTGTATCTGGATAAAAATGAAACAGAGTCCTTGTCAGTTGCCTATATTTTAAAATTTTTGATTGGACAGTGCAATCCCTGACTTCTAAGCAGCACTAAATCCACAACGCCAACTCAGAATCTGGGCACTGAGGACGTAATTCGAAAGCTACCTTCAATGGTCATCTTTCAAGTCTTAATTTGGGACTATCTTTTCCACCCTTGGATCTGCAGTGATTGTGTCTGCAGTTCTGGAAACTCTCTTCTTTATGAGTCACTTAAGGGGGAGACAACCACTCTTGGGCTAGATAGATAGCATTTGCCTAAAACCCTTCTAATCAGATGAAAGGGCTCCCGATTGTTAAGACAGACTCTGTGCCTGGCTCCAGACGATCTTCGTGTCATCAGCAGGCCTCTTGGTAATGTCATGAAGCACAGAGCTTCCTTCCATGTGATGTCACTGACCTAGGAAAGGATGAGTTCCAGCTGCATGGCGCTGACTGCTTCCTCTTTCCTGCAGTGCACGGTTACCTGCGGGGGAGGCGTGCAGATGCGCTCGGTCCACTGTGTGCAGCACGGCCGGCCTTCCTCCAGCTGCCTGCTCCGGCAGAAACCTCCGGTGCTGCGAGCCTGTAACACAAACTTCTGTCCAGCTCCTGAAAAGAGAGGTAAAGGGCACCGTGCTTTCGAGAATTTTCCAAAAGCCCACAGCTTGCATAACGCCGGGGTTGTTTGTGTCACAATGATGGTGTGTGCCTAGGTGTCAACTTCCACGATGCAACAGTTTGGAAATAGTCATTTTTAATTATTGAATAAACAAGAGAAAAAATAATGACCCTGTAAACTGTTACATGCCCAGAGATAATAGTAATCAGTGGGAAGATGAACGTGAAGAATTACCCTCAAGGAGCCAAACTAGAGTCAATGACAGCGAGTGTATATTGCCTTCTTACTGCACCTTCAATGTTTCCTAAACATTAGCTAATGTTAGCTAAAGTCAGTTCCCATGAAGAGCAATGAGTACTGATGGTGAAATGGAAATTCAATTATCTGAACTGTACCCTTCTTACTAGTCCAACTTAAAGTAATCTGACAAACACCAGGAAATATTTTTCAACCTAAAACAATTTCCAGCATCTAACTGCTGGGTTTTCTCTTTTATGCAGTCATGGCTTTTCCAGGACTGTCACACCCTGGCTCGCCCCTGTCCGTATCACTCTGTGTCTAAGTTGTTGTTTATCTACTTACAGTCTTAGTTCCAGGATGGGGCATCACTTTTCCTTCCTCTGCATCTTCTCTCCTACATGTTTTGTGCGAGCCTCCATTGCTCAAAGCCAGGTCATGTCCAGATCCATGCTGGAATTCTACCTGGGGAAGAAATGGACATTTTTTAGTAAGGGGTCCTATTCTTGTAGCTCCTGTCTTCCTTTCTGCCCTTTAGTCAGGTGGCCATAAATTATAAGCCCCTCCGTGCTTTCAAGGAGACCATTGCTCTAATTATTTCTTGTTCACCCAAGCATGTACTACTTACTGCACAGGGTAGGTGCTCAATATCTCTTGTATGAATAAGTGAAAGATGGTATGCAAAGTGCCACGAGGTCCCCTCTACTACATTCACAGCAGAGTCACTAAACACAAAGAATAAAACAGGGTCCTGTTCTTAAGCTACAAGCTCAGTGTGTCAGAGGAGGGAGGGATATTAGATGTTGTGAAAATGGTGATGTCTGTGTTGCAGGAATGAGGGGAAGTCACGTGAAAAAAGGCTATTGAAAGAGGGGTACAGGACACAACCCATTGGGTGTGTGTGTGGCCAAAAATGTGGCTTACATTTTCCCCTAGTTTTCCTATTCCTATCCCAGGTATAGGAACACTGCCATGCCTGAACTATGGCCGTGTGTGTCCTTCTCCCATATCACTCCAAAGGGTGACCACTACAAAAGCCACTGGAGTGTATTTTCATGAAGAGTATTCATTTCTTTGACTTTTCTCAGATTCCCACTAGGGGCTAGAGTCTGAGGGTTTCAGAGGGTACAGCCTTCCCTTACACTCAAGGCAGCAGTTTCCAGCCATTGCACTCACTCAACCTAGCCCCTAGACAAGATGATTCAGCCCAGGTTGGCATTATCTTGTCTTCCAGAACACCCCAGCAGGTTTGCCATCCCTGTGGCCCGCACCTGTACTGCCTGCCAGGCATTCATTCTACACCATGAGCACTGTTAGATGCCTCATGTGGAGATTCTGGTTAGATCTCCACGTTGGGGAAGGATCCTTATGATTTTGAGCCATGCATATTTTATCAAAGGCCCTAGGCAGTGATACTCGTCTTCATGCTACATTGCAACTGGTTGGTTGTATGGTCTGGCAGATGCCTGGGCTGCAGACTGGTTACATTAAGCTAGGGCTGATAAGGCACTCAATAAACTCTGCCTCGTGGAATCCCACATCTTCAGATGGGCAGCTGTATTGGGGCAAAAGGTGCAAGGACTCGGACACTAGCTAGGCAGTTTTGGGAAAATTTTTAACTTTCTGAGCTTTTCATAAGGTAGGAAAATAATGTTTACTGTAAATCTGTGAACCAGGAAATGTTCTGGGGTCTGGATCAGAGATAGAACAAGGAACAAAACATACCAAGTGCCTACCTTCAGACAATGTTCTCCTTTTTGTTTCCAGATGGAAACAGACAACCAACCAGTAACATACAATGTCAGATGATAAAGTAGCAGGAAGTAAAACTGAAGCAGGGTATGTATAAAAAATGGAGGGGAGAAGGTAGGAAAACCAGTGTAGATAGAATGGGCAGGGGCAGGCCTCTTCATGATATAGTATTTGAACAGAGACTTCCAGGACATGGGGAAGATGAGCCACATATGAGTTTAGAAGGAGCATGTTCCTGGTTAGAGGGAATAGGAAATGCAAAGGCCCTGAGGAGGGAATATATGAATCCAGTTAAGGAACAGCAAGATGCTTGGAATGGAAGGTAAAGAGTGGGTTAGACAAACTGAAAGGGGTCCCTGTCTGAAATAAAGACTTCAGATTTTACTCTGAATAAGACAGAAGCCAGTGGAGAACTAGGCACAGAGGAACAAGAGGATCTGGCTTGGAGGAAGATCATGGGCAGTTACAGTGAAGAGTAGGAGTTGCCTAGAGTAGAACAGGAATTGCCCACTCAGGTGGCTGCAGTAGTCCAGACAGAGGGATCCACTAGAGCAGGGGCAGTAGTGAGAAGGGGTTGGATGCTGGGTATAGTTTGAAGATTGCGCCAATAATATCTCTTGATTATTTGCGTGCAGGATGTGAGACAAAGAAAGGACTCCTAGGTCTCTTCAAAGTCATTTTTAAAAGCATAAATAACTAATTCATAGAAGCCCAAATAACCAGCTACTAGTAATCGTCATAACTATAATCAGACAGAATACTTACACTGGTAGCTCAGGGATACAACTCTCTTCTGCTGGTGGGGCAGGGGGACCACACCCAGCAGCTGGGGGCTTCTCAGGTATCATCATGACCGTACCTCCAATTCCAGTGGTAGCCCAGGGGAGAGTAGGGGGCAGAGGCATGGCATGAACTAGCTTATGTTCTGAAAGGATCATGGGACCACTGTGAGATGGGTTAAAAGGGAATTTTAGGCAGAATCATCAAGGTTTGACAAAGGAACTCTAGGTAATTCTGAATTATAACATGATAGGATGCAAGAGGTTTCAGAGTCTTGTATGCCACATTCGAAGGTACAATAGGAGAGTCACCAAAGGATGCCATTTGGGAGCCTCTAGGAATGAAGAGGTTGGTTGAGTCAAAGCTACAGGCAGCTTAAGGCTTGCATAGGAGGAAACCATTCTAGGTATGAATGATAATATGCTTTAAGAATACAAGAAGATGCCTAGACCCTAGTTCCTAAAATGTACACCTATGTTTACATAATTTTATGTACAATTTTATGTGCATTTGATATCTCCTGAGGTCCATCTGAACAAGAATTCCTGATCTCTTCCTTCCAATACATAATCATACCTGTCATCTTACTTGAACAAGCACAGAAATTAGGAAGGACTAGTATTGGCCTAACTTCACTCATTAGCAAACTGGCTGTGAGATTTATTTAAGCCCACACAGAATGTTGGCAGGAGGCCTCAAATCTAGCTGGTCTTGACTCCCAATATATTAGGCTCTTCAATCCCCAAAGTAGAGTGCATGGACCAGCAATATCAACACCTCCTGGGAACTTGCTAGAAACATACAATGTCAGCCCCTACGCCAGACCCTCTGATTCAGAACCCCTGGTAGCTCCCAGCTATGTGGGGATGATGGGCCATCGATTTTGGGCTAGATAAGACTTTTTAAAGTAACATCCGTTGTTTCCCACCTGATTAAATTTTGCTAATGGTTGCAGTCCCTTGTGGGATTTTAATCCTGCCCCCATCTCAGTCCCCTCCCCAAGTCCTGTGTAATGAGAAGAACCACACAAGGTAGGTGGGCCCAAAGTCTTTGTTCTTACCTTAGGAAAAAGGCTGACAGCTGTTACTACCGTGCTGACTGTGTTTTCTTGTTTTAGAGGATCCCTCCTGTGTGGATTTCTTTGCCTGGTGCCACCTGGTTCCTCAGCATGGTGTGTGCAACCACAAGTTTTATGGTAAACAGTGCTGCAAATCCTGCACAAGGAAGATCTGAGCTTGGTGTCCACACCTCAGAACCCTAGAGCCAGGGTCTTACCTTTCAGCCTCCGGAGAGACCAGCCACCTTTGAGATCAGATGCTGAGCATGTGCAGTGGTTTAAGAGCCAGCTCTGAGGAACATACAGGTTGTCACCAGGCTCCTATTTCAATTCCCCAAAGCACATGGTACTCTGAAGCACTTGAAAATAGGAAGCGATGACAAATCTGACAAAAAAAAAATCTTTGATTTGCACTGTTATACAAAAGGAGTTGATGAATCATACTGAGATATGTCAACTTTGGTTTTCAACTTCAAAGGGTTTGATGGCAAAGACATCTGGTTTACAAAAGTCCCTTAAGACAGACCTGGAGCAGTCCAATGTGGATGGAACACCTTGCCTAACTGTGGCCTGGAGTCAGTTCACAGTTTTCATACACACTGTGAACACCCAAACCAGGAGAAGCCAAATGGTGCTCACAAGTTTGCTTGCTGCTGGACTAGCGAGCTTCCTGTTATGTTTATTTAGTGTGTGTGTGTGTATGTCTATTACTTTGTTTAAGGTATATTCTGCTTGTAGAGAGAGTCTCCAAGACTAAGATTAACAACTTGAAAAGTATTCCAAGGAATATTATGAAAACAGGGCAACACAGACTATTATTTCAGATCTCCATGTGACTGACATTCATGTTCAGGACAAAACAACTCATGTTAGAGACAAATATTAATGCCCTTCACACGATAGCAACCTCATAACTTTTGGTGCTTGCCGAACCAGTACATGGGAGGCCAGAGCCTGCTCTTTGGGAATGAGGAAGTGTTTGTTTCTGGTTAAAAAAAATTCAAGAGGCCATCATTTATAAAAATGCTCCCTATAAATTATCAGAGCTGCTTGGAAAATTAAAGACCACTTGTGGCTTTCTTCTACCAACTGACATGTTTAAATTTGCCCTGGGATTTAGGTAACAAGAAAGAAACAGTGGCAATAGAAAAATCCATCTGCCTTCTTGCTACATGAATATTAATAAATCATCCTCTACCCACACTCTTCAGTGGATATTTTATCATTTTCAGTCATCAGAAGCCAGCAGTTGGTAAGCATTAATGAGCTTAAGATTGTTCTCAATTGAAAAACCACCACACTATTTTGCCAAAACCAAAGTAATGTGCAAGACTGTGCCCTCCTGTAATTTTTTTCAGAAGTGGTTATAAAGGGCAGATTTACATGATTCTATTCCATTCCTCAACTTTTTTGGCTGAATGTAATCCAGTTTTACTTGAAAAAGTTTCAATTCTAGCTGGATTAACCAGCTCAGCATAACCAACTAGACAGTGGTTTGTTAAATTTAGCAGCATCCTTTGTTCCCATTCTAATTAAAGTCATGAGTTCAATAATTAGGAACTTGTCTCCATCTACTTGGCTTGGCCTACAATAGTAGCCATTTTATCAGGAAAAAAGGTTCCACACACCCTGAACAATAGCAAGTTCTTTGTTTCTTTATATAATTATCATATTATTTTATGAAAAATTAATTTATTAATTAATAGGCTATTATGTGTTCTCACTTGCCTCCCTAAGTGATCTTAATTTTGAGGAAAAATGTTGAATAAAACCATGGATTATAGAGAAAAGTCAAAATATATGTGTAATATTTAATTATTTTATAAGTTTTATAATAAAGTATTCTGTTTCTTTATCTTTGAAACTTGTTTAGTTCTTGCATGAGTTAGTGAGAAGTCAGTTATTTCCAAGGTAATTTAAATGTATACATTTTCATCAAGAATCTAAGAGGTAAACTCCATTCAATTAAGGATTTAGAACAAAAGAGTGGAAACTCTTAAGTGCATGATTACACTGAATCTGAGAATATTTATAAGCCCTCTATTAAATCAGGTTTTATGCCCCACATACTCTGGGAGCTTCAAGTATACTTGATGGTAAGGCTTTTGTGCGTAGGAATGTGTGCACAAACACACTTCCACCTAAACAACTTGACCTCCAAGTCTTGAAAAAGGTTTCTGTACTTGCCACGTATGCCAATATAATGAAAATGCCCTTATTTTCAAAGCTAGTCAAAAACTCGAGAGAAGGAAAGATAAACAAGGAAAAAACCATTAATTGTTGAATCTTATTTGGAAACCAGAAAGCATCAAATGCTAGGATGAAACAGATGAACACATTTACCTTCCTGAGGAGACACCGATTTTATTGTGTAATGGACGTGTAAACACGTAGTCATGGAAATCATCAAAAATAAAGCTACCATGAAAGGATGTTTTTTTCTATTTGAAAGGTATTCTAGTGAAATACTTTTGCAAAACAAAACAGGGGAGGGGAAGGATAGAGGGATGAGACAGAAAAGATGGAATAAGAAAAAATGAGGAAGCAACTGCTCTCAGGCTTTGCAAATTTTGAAGCATTAGCTCAATAGAGAACAACAACTACCGAAGTAAGGCCAATGGACCTAAGTAGACAACATTTTTCCCTGTACCTATGATTACATACGTGTGTATACATATTCATATGCCTATCTTTAAAATAAATTTAAGAGGATTTTTATATGCATTATTGCTTTTTAACAAACAAGAAATTATGGTTAAGACTGGGAGAGGGAAGGGGCAAGATGGCTGACTAGAGACATTGGTCACCAGATTCTCTCAGAGGGAAAAGTTTTAGATGGGAAAAAACATAGCTCAGGTGTAATTCTGAGGAAAAGTGCCAGAACCTACCACTGATGACATGCGAAGAAAGAGCAGCACAAGGAACAAGATTGCAGTAGAGATCAACCTCAGAGGAACACAGAGGCCCGTGGAAAAGGTACAAGTGTTTTTTGTCTTGTCCTTTCACACCTCGGGCCATCGTCAGAGGCCCTGGAACTGCTGGGGAGCTTCTCCACCATCAAGAGCCAAAAAGCTGCTACCCCCAGTGAACTCAAAGCACCTGGCTGGCTAACTCCTCGGGGTCACTCCCCCCTGACCACAGCCAGGAGCTGAGCTGGCAGGCGCCATACGGTTTCTCCTGGGCCCATGTTGTGAGCCTTTGTCCTACCCCAGGGAGCTTCAGCCCTTTAGTTTTCATGCCAATGGTTCCCACAGGAACATTTCCCAACTTCTGCCCAGACCAGGGTGCCACAGGGGGCCGGTGGGTCCTGGGGCATGTGTGTCATCTCAGAGCTTGGACATGCCAGGTGGGCTGCCTTCTGGGGAGAGGGACAAAGATGGCCAGAGTGTTGCTCTCCTCCACGCAGACTCTTTCCCTTCCCTTCCCTCCCCGCTGCTGCTGCCAGGTAGCACAAATGCCCCAAGGGACAGTAGAGCTGGGGTTCTCAGAAGTGGCTGTTTTCCCTGCGTTGGCATGGTCGCTACCACAAAGAGGGGCTCAAGCCTTTCCCCTTAGACACCTACAGCAGGCTGAGGGGTGGTCAGACTCTGAGCTCCCTGCCCACTGGCCCACCTGGCTGGCCCAGCAGAGAGGGGCACACCCCAAAGTGGAAAGACATCAAGCCTGCTAGAACACTCCATGGGCAATGTGGGACCAGCACGCTTCTCCCTGGCATGGTCAGGGATTGAACTTGGGAGACCAAGGGACAGGCCCACAGGCTGGAACCTGTATCCCCAGGATTTGGTCATGTTGCTCAAGGGCACAGAAAGGAGATTTGTGAACTAATTTTGGGAGGCGAGGGAGCCCACCTAGGCAGAACTGAAAGGAGAGAGCAGTGTGGGTCCCAGCTGCAGTACTGTCCCAGGACACGCCGCCCCTCCAATGAGTGGATAAAGAAAACGTGGTGTCTATATATCCTATGCAGTACTACTCAGCCATAAAAAGATAGAAATAATGGCTTTTGCAGCAACTTGGATGGAACTGAAGACCATTATCCTAAATATCTTAGGAATATAGAAAACCAAACACTGTATGTGCTCACTAATAAGTGGGAGTTAATAGATGGGTACAAATGGGCACAGAACCATATAAAGGATACGAGAAACCAAGAAAGGGGGAGAGTGAGAGGCTGGGTATGGGACAAAAGCTTACCTGTACAATGAACACTTCGGGAGATGAGCACACCAAAAACCCTAACTTAAGCAATTTACAAGATATCCATGTAACAAAAGCACTTATAACCCCTCAATGTTTTAAAATTTTAAAAAAGGGAAAATGGAATTTATGAAAGACAAACAAAGTATCTTAGTACCTTTTGGTACTGAGACATTATTAGATATTGTTACAGATATTAAATATTATTAGAAACAACCCTATATTAGTGTTTAATGGTATAGGTACTGTGCCAAACCCTTTAAAAAAGGGGTCACCTCACTGAACTCTCAGAACACCCCAATTGGGAAAATACTATTATTCTTTGTTGACAGATGAGGACACCCTGGGGTTCATTGGGGTTACATATTTGGCTCAAGAGTACCCAGTTGTCAATTGATAGAGTCAGGACTCAAACCCAGGTCTACTGGGGTTCTCTTGTCACTGTGCTGTATTACCCTGGGAGAAATAAAGAGAAGGACCTCTAAGTCTTAGAATGCTACTCTTATGACCCCCTAGATGCCTGTGGATACACTTTGACAATAAAGCATTTAACAGTGATGGATTATGGGCAGAGCTGGGAATTTAAGATGGGGAATTGGTTTGGGAGGTAATAAATTCCCACTTAGCCAGTCTTTTCAACAAGGACACTTAAAGACCTGCTGCAGATCTAAGTCTTTATTCCCCATTCACTGCTTCTCTCTGGGATGATAGTATTTCCTGGGCAATAGTGCCAGGCGGTCTGGAGCCTGCAACACCAAGTCCATTAGGGTGGAGAGAGAACAAGAGGGAGCATTCTCTTGGCATGGGGTCCATATGCTTACCAGTAGGGGAAGATGATCCCACAGCAAGGTGTGTATCATGCAAGCAATGGAACCCATTGTAGCTACATGTGACGTGGAAAGGTCATTTACTTATATGCTACACGATTTTATCTGAAAGAATGTAAAAATATACCCAAGGATCCCAAGCTTGCTTTGCCTGATCTGATCCTTCCCTTGAGATATTAATTCCTTGAATACCTTGTGCTTTTAAGTCCTGCAGGTAGTTTTCCTTAGTCACCTGTAGTGCTGGGTGATTGTCACTTTCCTCCTCTAGAGGGGACCACAGGCTCTTGAGAGGTGATTCTCAAACTGCTGTCACTCATTTACTACCATGAGTTTCTCCATAAACACATATCACCTCTACTAAGCTTTCTCTCTTCAAGTAAAAATATCAATTGCTCTAAAGAAAATGTTTCAGTAAATTTTTTATAATTCCTTTAAATGGAGAATCTATATTGCATGGCATAAATACAAGGTAGCCATAAAAATAAATCTGATCAACATTTAAATTATTAACTTTAATTTAAAAAGTCCTTATAATGAATTCACAACACTCATCTGAGAAAGAGAATTCCTCAGTGAGAGTAAGTACACTGTTCATAGTTTGTCAAGAATATTCAGTTTAGCATCCCTAAGC